GAGATCTTCGAGTGTTTTGAGTTTGAGAGAATGAAAGTTATGAGAGAGATTAGAAAGCTATGAAAACTAATCAACGAGAGAGATCATCATCAAGGATCGTAGATCTGCTCCCGCGGGAGACTATAAAAGTGTGATAGAGTAGGTTGGGTATTAATCCTACGTGTCTCCACGACCTAAAACGGAACGCGTGGAAGGTTTGTCTAGCCTGGATCTATAGCGTGGAAGTACTCCACGCTGGCTAAAATATCTAGAGCGAGTGTTTCATCATCAACCTAGTATGACTAGAGCGTCATGAGAACCCTGTCTAAGATGACTATTCACGAGAGACTCAGTCATGAGTCGAACTCAACCCTATCTAGGATCGAGTCGCGAATAAGGCTAGAGCCGTGTATTGCATCGCCCCCTGACAAGGGTCACAGAAGGCGACAGCAGTCGGACAAGGAGAACATATGATTTAAAGTGCGGGGCACTCTCATATGAGATTTGGATGTAGACATGTGCGTCGCACGATGGCAATCCTACAAGGGGATCAGGCCTTGTATGGGTGTATATTACCTTATGTTCCAAGTCTGGTAGACTGTGCCGCCAGTTGCGGTAGCATGTTGCCGTACAGTGCCATTGTCTTTACTCGGTCTATAGTGTAAGGACTTTGTACTTTGGCTGACCGTATTGCGGTGCTGATACTGTTGAATCATCACAGTATGTTGAATTGTATTGATGAGGGACACGCGTTGCGTTTCCCCTACGTTGTTTTGTTGGATTAGTCGTTGGCGACGTTCCTTAATGTATTCCAGTTGGCTTCGAACGGACGTTGTGAATCGGTCACGATTGAACACGAGCTGTGCGGGCGTTGCACGCAAGGTGGTATGAATCGTGGCATTCATTGCAAAGCGAACCGCCGTGAGGACTCATCCCAGGATCCATTCACGAGGTCGTCTTGGCACTTGATTTTTGAACACGATCAAGTTACGTATGGTTTGATGAGCACGCTCGACAATAGAGTTGGCTTGAGGGTTCGCGTGTGATGAACTTGCGAGAAGTCCATATTCATCCCGGAGTGTCTTCTACTTCTGCGCGGAACTCACTTCCTCTATCCATGATAACCTCAGCAGGCCATGGATACCGAGTAAGCCACGTTTGTTCTAGGACGATGGCTACTTCGTCTGCTGCCTTGGAGCAGATCTCTGCAATCTCGAACCATCCGGTTACGGTCAATCATTGTCAAGCAATGAAGTGTGCAGGAATTCTTTTTTGGGATCCCCGACGTTGTAAGGCCTATCAGGTCAATACATAGTCTTCCCAAGGGATCTCCTCCAAGTCTTTGGAGGCATCAATCCCACTTACGCGTCTTGGGTTTGTTCATCTGGCAGCTTTGGCAACGCTGACATACGGCCTGCACAGTCCTGCGCAGCCTTTCCAGGTGTAGTGTTGGCTGATGGTTAGTTTGTGCGAGTCTCGCCAGGATGCATAAGACACCATGGTACCATTCACAGCTTCTTCTGCATAGTTTAGGTACGACGATTTTCTCGTCCTTGACTACTAAGTCGTAGGACTTACACTAGCTTTTAGCGTAGTGCAGTGGAGTACTTCCACGCTACTAGATCCATGCTAGACAAACCTTCCACGCGTTCCGTTTTAGGATCGTGGAGACACGTAGGATTACTACCGCAACCTACTCTATCACACTTTATAGTCTCCCGCGGGAGGCCAGATCTACGATCCCTTGATTATGATCTCTCTCGTTGATTAGTTTTCATAGCTTTCTAATCTCTCTCATAACTTTCATTCTCTCAAACTCAAAACACTCGAAAGATCTTTACACTAGCTTTTAGCGTAGTGCAAGAGAAACCGGTTGAGCCAAGGAGAGGGGACGCCTCATCTAAGAGTTTTGGCCTAGACTGCCACAGACTGGGTGTGCAGAGCTCATTCCCTGGAATACAGTTTTACTTGTCTGGGTGTGTACAGTCTTACTGTTGGAATAGGAGCAGAGAAGAAGAACAAACAACTGTTGCTCATCCAAGTGATACCGCAAGAGAAGAAGTAATTGGAGGCGAATATGGCAGGCAATCTTGCAGCCATGAACAATTATCTACAGAATACCATCGGTATTACCGAACTAGCCACGAGGACAGCATTGAATGATCAAGGATTGGACTCACTTGATACCTTTACCGATGCCGATATCAAGAGCATCTGCGAGAATGTGAGGAAACCAGGTGGTACCATTCCGAATCCAGCCATTGCGGCCGCAGCCGATGATGCAGCTGCCGCAGCAGTTCTGCCCAGAGAAGTTCCCAATCGAGGACGACAGCTGGGGTTTGTATTTGAGAAGCGACTTAGACAACTACGGTTCTACAAGTCCCACATGTTATGAATCCAGCGTCAAATCATCCCCAACCAAGCCACTTTGGCTAGACTGAACACAATTTGGGCGATGTACGAGTCTGAATGAGAAGAGGTTGATGTCGCGGATCCTCCCCAATTGTTGATGGAAGAGGCCGTGAACGTGGTAGTGGCAGGTCCCAAGGCAGAGGCCATGGAAGAGGTCGAGGCAGGGGACGAGGATGTGGTCGTAGCCGTGAAGGCAGAGGTTTTGACCCCGATGACTCAGAACGATACTATCATACCGATGAGTGCATGGGCTCAGCTCACATCGGCGCAGCAGCAACAGGCTAGGGACGCCCGCGATGGTGACAAGCGGAAAATTGCAGACACAGTTGTCAGAGTCCCAGTCCCAAGTCTCGGCATTGCAAGCCGAGAAGCGATCCCGGACTGATGTTCCTGGTGGATCTAGCGTGGGCAACCAGATGAACCGGCGATGAGTTTCTGGTGTTCGCACTCTGAGATCAGTTGCTACCCTTGTCAGAGTTGGCGGAGGCAGATGCGATCCAACACGAGGCTTTCGATAAGTACATTTCGACCCGTGTTTGTGTCGCACAGGGTGACAAAATGTCTTACGGCCCAATCACAAAGTGCAAACAGGAATTCAGATGGGAAATTGATTGGCCTTTCGAATACTAACTCATTGCTTGATACTTCCATTTATGAGGTGGAGTTTGACAGTGGCGAGGCGAGGCCTACTCGGCCAACGTGCCACACTGCGTGAAATATTGAGACATTCTGATATACTGAGAATTGATTGAGAATTGTGCACTTGTGTTGAATCACTTGTTTGCTGCTGAATGAATTGATTTGATTTACTGACTATGTGTTTGATCGCCCCTTCCGCATCACGCTAAGGGGACGGATTTCGAGTTGAGACAGATTTGACATGATGTCGATATGAACCAGCTGCCTTGTGTGTAGCGTTAAGCAAAAGCTGCGATGAAAGCAAATGTTGCGATGGAATTGATGCCCGACACACTGTGTTGGAGGACGAGCACTGATACCGTGACGCACCGATATCACCGGAAATGGCTAGATTTGATATGCCAAAACGAGAATTTGAGGTGACGCAAATTGTGCAACCCTATGTTAGAACCCAACTTCTCAATTTTTGTGCTTCGGATTTCCATGAAAAGCAGGTCGAAATGACAACATTGCCTTCCTGGAGCACGGATTTGACAATTTAGACATGCGAGTTTAAGAAAACTGGACGACTTTTCCCAGCACCCCTGGAGCGTTCCTCAATCGTGCATGACTTATATCGAAAACCGACCCTAATTTTGGGTCGGATTTAGGGACGGATTCCCCTTTAGGGTCGGGTTTCGAAACCGACCCTAAAATTAGGGACGGATTCTGAAAAAACGTCCCTAATTAAGGGACGGGTTTCGATTTAGGGGCGGGTTTGAAAACCGTCCCTAAATGGAAGCGGGACTGAGTGGTAAATACATTGAAATCCGACCCTAAAATAGGGTCGGGTTTCGAAACCGACCCTAAAACTAGGGACGGATTCTGAAAAAACGTCCCTAATTTAGGGACGGGTTTCGATTTAGGGGCGGGTTTCAAAACCGACCCTATTGCTACATGGAATTAGGGTCGGGTTTCAAAGATTTAGGGTCGGATTTGGGTCGGATTTAAAACTCACCCACGATTGAGGGACGCTCCTGTTTCTGCTGAACGACGAGAATTGCCGAATCAGAAGAGGCTGGAAGATGCAATTTGATGAATCAAGAGAAGATCTACAAGCAACCAGATGCTGTTGTGAGACCAGATGATGACGATAGTCCAGGTTTGAGGGGACTTTGTGTCAGAGATTGAACGATCAATCCGGCAGAGACTAACTCCAGTCATAGTGAAGCACCAGTAGCAGAGCAAATGAGGGTCCACAACCTTAAAGCCAGCATGACCGGCAGGTAACTGTCGGTGGTGCCTGCTCACCCAGCATTGGCATTGGATGAGCTGGCACCAACAAGATAACAAGCACCAAGTGCTTATTCTCTTGTCTTTGTACACCAACAACAGTTGATGTACAAAGCCTTCGTTTTCCTGCCTTGCCTCATCGCTATCAGACATCTCGTCCCGTTCCGCCTTTGCTTCTTCATCTTTGTCGCGCCCCTTTCTTCCGTCTTTCTTCCCATGACCGACAACGATCCCCCTCTTTCTCCGACGGCCGCCATCGCCCAGCCCCTTCTTCTTCAGGGTCTCCTCGGGCCCCGGCTCGTCCACACTCAAGATCTTCCCACTTCCATCCTTCCCCGCTCCAACTCCTGGAATGATCCTGCTATCATGCAATCCGACTCCACCTCGGCTATCGCCGCTTCCCGCTTCCGCTCCACCCTCCAGGATTCCCAACTTCATGGCCTCTCTGCCAAATACACCGCTCCTTCCAACCTCTCGGACTCCTTCTCCGATCTCCTTGCGAAATCCATTCGCAGCGGACCCCACACCCGTGCCTGGTCTCGCACCGAAGCCTACAATCTCATGCCCCGCCGTAACATTGGCGGTTTTCTCCTCATCGCCAAGTTCCGCCTTGCCGACGGCTCTCTTTCAGCCCCCCTCTTCTGCATCACGGGACCCCCCGCTGTGGCTCCGCCCACTTCCATTGGCTCTTCCAACAGCCTCTTCCCGTCGGCTTCCATGCCGCCTGACACTCAACTGGCCACTCAAGTGCCCTTTCCACCCCACGTTCAGCCCGTGGCCTTCCCGTTTGCCACTGACTCTCGCTCCACCATCGCTTCCTTAACCACCTCCTCGTCTCCCGACTCCATCATTGCGGACCTACCTATCGGCGTCATTCCCGACGCCCGCAACATGTTTGAACTCGTCCCAATCCACAACTCAGTCATGAATGTCTTGCACGACCTCCCCGAGACACATCCATTCCTCGCCAACAACATCTGGATTCCAGACGTCACCCCTGACGATTCTTCTCAGGCATCCACACCCAACTTAGAACTCATCACCATCCTCCGAGAAGGAGCTATCCCACCCTGTCCCCTCGCAGCACCCTCGCCTTGGCCCAAACCAGCTCCACCTGGCTCCCCCACCACTATTCCTCTTGCGAACGCCAACTCTCACCCATCATTCGCGACCCAAATCTACCTCAAATCCACGGAGCCCAACAGCTCCCCTGATATCTCCCAATAAGTTTCTTGAAGGTTCAGTTCCAATACCCAAGTAGTGGACTGGACCTCGCTGAAGCCCTTCCTCAGGGACAGCGGTAGTCAGGCAGTTCAGGGAGCCTTGTCGTGCCTCAGGAGTATTCCAACACCTCCAGTAGGCACCAAACCAAGGACTTGGCCCTGTCAGTCAGACAGGAGGGCCAGCAGAGCTCTCTGCTGGGCCCTTTTGGGCCAGCTCACCTCAGGAGCTGGGGGCCTTCGTTATTCAATCGTGCAGTGGCAGTCTGGGAACAGTACTATCTGCTACCTCCTACTGCTTCTGCCCGGCCTCAACAGGATTGGTATCAACTGCTGCGGTATCAAAGGGGCTACAAGCTAATCAGGATCGGTCTCAATCTTTCGTACTATTTTCTTAACTATGGTAGAAAGACGATCCTTTCTTGCTGTTGCTGGAGATAAGCCAAGCTGCGGTGCTGGATGTAGGCCAGCATAGCTTTTGGGCTATCTCTGACGGGATCAGAGCTCTCGCTCCTAAAAGTTATCGCTCCCCACGAGTGCGTATGGATCCCTCTCATGGGAATGCCACGATATACGATTAGTTACTAACTAACTACAATACATACTCTCCCCATGAACGGAACATTCATGGGCCACTCAGCATCGGCTGCTAGTGGGACACAATGTGAGATGGGATCTCACAAGTGGAGGGATTGCATGGTTGGTCGGTTGCTGACCAAAGGTAGCGCAAAGGGATTGCGTGCTTCATCAGCATGACCAGACTCGGTAGTGTCGGCGGTGCTGGTTGCTATCATAGCTGTTGTTGTTTTTCTTCATATGTAGACAAATATTGTGGCTTTTCCACAGGCCGAATTCAGCGGCGGCAAGCCTCAGTGGAGCGCCTTCTTGCCCCGCAACATGTCCCTTGAGGATGGGATGGATTGGCTGTACCAGACAGGGACGTAGTGCTAGTTGCCCGTCCGAAAATCCAGGGACGGTGCTAGCAGCACAGACTGGAGGGCTCCAATCCTATGTGCCATCATGGAAGCAAACACATGATGGAACCACATGCCAAACACTGGTGAACTCCCCATTGCCTTGAGGCAGAGAGACTGAGACCATGGTGGTTCAAACCTTGGACTCATCCTGTGGTGTGACATTGTTGCTGCTGTCAGACAGTGGTGGTGGTTGTCGACAAAGGGATGGTCGACTGTGT